GAAAGTATAAAGGGCAGGGCCTCCTGCTCAGTTGAAGGAGAGACGCCGAAGGAGGCAGGCAGATCCTGCTCACTCCTGGCCGTTGACCCCATTGCTGAGCCCAGCAACACCCTGCCCACCAAGGAACTTGCTGCTGCCCCAACCTGCTGGGGCTGCCTTGGGCCACTTAGCCAGAGGAGGCAGACGATGCCCTTTTGATCCAGGTACACCCTGAGGATTGGGGAGGAAGTGATCCAGGGAGAGGGCCCAGGGACTAATGCTAATCTGCTAATTGCCCTGTATTGACTGTGCTCTGGCTGCTGCTTTGCTTAAGATGTGGTCAGTGTGTAGTAGCTGGAATCCCCCGCTGACCTAGTGGGGGACCCACTCCACCACTGTTGGGGTCCAGTGGAGCAGGGTGGCAGCCTCCCCCTCTAGGCCCACTGTGTGTCAATCAGGACACCTGGCCCCTGAGGTTGCTCTGTCCCTGGATCAAGAGACGGGGGCTAATGAACTGCAACAGGCGCACAGAAGGTCATTGACTATTGGGTTTTCTCTGGCCTGGCTGCAAGAGCCTAGAGCTCATTAATTGCTGGGTTCAGCTGGCTCGGGGCCTGCTCCTGCTTGCTGTGTGAGCCCAGAGCTGAGTGACCACTGGGTGCACTCTGTCTTGGCAGCAAGAGACTAGGACCAGTTGGCTATTGCATAGCCGTGTAACGAGCCAAAGCTAGCTGCCTGTCTGGGAGCTCAACCCCATTAGGCCTGTCAGTAATGCCAATCTGCTAATTCCACAGCACTAGGCCAAGATCACAACGCTGTAATGAGGTGGTGTGGCCCCTGCCAACCCAGAGGGGGAGCCACAGCCTCCACCTGACTACAGCCTTCCACTTGCAACAGCTTCACGTACACATGTCCTTCTCAGCTGGGAACAGTCCGTATCGCTTCCTTCAGCGTTATAATAGTCATAGTTATAATAACCAGCCATTCTGTTTGGGTGTGGTTCTTTACAGTGGGACGCTATGATTGTCCTGGGCCCTACACTCCTACCTGTGCTGTCTTTTCTCCTTCAGAATGGGTTTGCATGTCTTTCTGTCCATGGTTCCTCATTCCTGTGGGCCAGAATGAACAGGGATGGAGCCTTTTAGTTTCGCAAACCTTGGGTGACCGGCTTGAGAGGTGCTTCTGCAACAGAATGAAATGAAAATGATTGCTGTACAATGGGAACTCTTTAACACAAGCGAGGGGCCTTTTTATGAGAGGAAAAGGCCGAATGTGATTTTAATACATGAGTGGAGTTCTCTCTAAGATCCCTCGAAGCGGGTAAGATTTCCCCTTGGACGCCGATAACTGATGAGTACGTAGATGAGAAATTAGGCCAATTCTGAGTGCAGTTACTGCTGCTTTGACGGCCCCTCGAGACCAGAGTCCTCAATTTATCCACAGGGTAAATGCAGCATGAGCACTAAGAAGTCCAGCCTTCCCTCACTGCCCTGTTTGTGCTCCCTGGCCTCGACCTGGCAGGACTCTGTCTGAGGATGAGCTCTAGACCCATTGATGATGGATCTCTGCTTTGACACCTGTGATAAATTTAGTACACTGGATATGACTAAGCCGAAGGCAGGCGGAAATCAGATTGTCACAAGGTCTGGTCACTACTGCCTTGGTGAGCTGGCCTCCTAGGCTCTAGAAGCTTTACATCCCCCAACAGATGTAAATAGGCAGCAGGTTTAAAACAAACAAAAGGAAGTTTTTCTTCACTCAGCGCACAGTCAACTGGTGGAACTCCTTGCCACAGGATGCAGTGAAGGCTAGAACTTTAACAAGGTGCAAAAAAGAGCTAGATAGATTCATGGAGGTTAGGTCCATCAATGGCTATGAGCCAGCATAGGTAGGAATGGTATCCCTAGCCTCTGTTTCTCTGCAAGTGGGAGACAGAGGAGGGATCACTTGAGGATTACCTGTTATGATCCCTCCCTCTGGGGCAGTGGTCCCCAACTGTTTGGGGCTGCCGGGCGCATCCAGGGGCAGGGGCTGCGCGTGCGCTGCACGCCCGGCGCACAAGAATGGCTTGGGCTTGTCCTGATCACTTGGCGGGCGCTAGATGGACCTTTGGTCTGACCCAGTATGGCTGTTCTTATGTTCTTAACACATGACTATAAAAAAAATAGTGGGAATATTGGCTGCTGGTGCACACACTGACTAGCAACTGTAGATGATAGATGTAAAACTGAAGACATTGCCTGCTCATAATTAAATTAAGCCTCCCAGCATGGGGAGAGAGCTGGGACCCCCCTTCCATCCTCCTACTGCATCCAACCATGGACAGAAATAGTCTGGCTTCCATTGCTGCAGAACATGGGGTATGTGTGTATGGGTTTGTGGTCCATTCCTACGTACACCAGGATAACAGTGCCCTGCTCTCACATAGATAGCTACATTCTTACATAAGTATTATGCTGTCATCTTGCTGGCATGGCTCAACCTAATCAGACTCTGTGTGGGTAAACACAGCAAGTTGGTTGGCTCTGAAAGAGCTCTGAAAAGTTCTTTGTCCATTTTTTTTTCAATAACCAGCAGTAGGATCCAACAGAAGAAAATGTCCATCTTGCTGAGCCCCTTAGATAGCTCTGACATTATCCTTTGATTCCTGCAGTTCATCAATTTCTTATGAAAGAATCTCTGAAGAATGTTGAGAACAATTGTTAAAGCACTTGGATAAGAAAATAATTGCTCTGAGACCTGTATCAAAATTGGTACCAGCCGAGAGAAAATGTGATTTTGAACAAATGCAACAGCTGGGAGTGCTACGAGCAACAGTATGAGAAGTGGGATAATTCAGCCGATAACAGGCTAAGGACGGCGCAATGTTTGACTTTGTTCTGTAGTTGCTGTTACTTCAAGTGTCAACTTCAAATGACTACTGTTGTATGCAACTTTCACATAATGGGCCTGACTCTCCATTGTCGGCATCCTAGATACCTATTCATATCAGTACCCAATGGGTGTGAAATTCTACCATCCTCACGGGGTTGTGTTTGACACACACATTGCACTGTACACTAAGTACAGGGCAGTAGAGAATGGGGTCCAATCAGAGTTACAGACTTTTTCCATGCATATTCTGATTTTTTTTCTATTGCAGTAGTGCCCAAAGGGCCTAATCAAAACCAGTCTCCAGAGGGCCATACAAACACACATGAGATCATAGTTCTTGTCCCAAAGGAGTCCAAGAAGACAAATGATCTACAAAGTTCAGAGAGTGAGAGGTGGGATCGAAGAGATACAATTTAATAGAGAGATATTTCTTTTTAAATGTGATTTATTATTATAAATGGCTAACGGCTGGTACTTTCCAAAGTGATAAGGTGCCCAATTTCCATTGATTTTTTTCCATTGACAGAGATTCATATTTTATTTTCAACTATGTAAAATAGCCCAGATGCTTTGGCAGGGGAAGGATCGTATATCAGTGAATAATATTTTTGCTTGCTAACTTTGGTATCTGTTCAGTGAATGACAGGATGGTATTTTGCATTAGACTTTGAATAAATAGAGGATAGGGTGTATTGTAAGGTAGTATTTTTTGGCTATCTGCAAAGGATTATGAGCTGAGTTCACAGAAGATTATGGGATCTGGTCACCCAGGAGTCTGAGTTTGAGGTCATGGGAAGTCACTTGCGTGGTCACAGGCAGCAAAGGATTGAGAGTCAAGCTCCTGGAAAGATGAAAATGGTGATTTATTTGCTTTTCATGCGATTAAAAAAAAAACCCTGCAGAAAGGATAATTTGACTAAATGATATTTTCCAACCACCTGAGACTTTTTGCTGAGGCTGCATTAATGTGACAGAGCTTTTTATTTCCTACCTCCTGATACTCAGCAGGTTAGGGACGTTATTGTCACAAGAATATTCCCGATTCAGTGAAATATGAGTGGGCTAATTAAATTATTAAAAAAAACTTGCCAAAACCCTATGTTTTTGTGCAATAGAAGAATGCAGGTTTTAACCCTCCTTGTTTCAAGGGGAGATGGGGGAGGGAATGTGTGAGTCTAATGAACCTGACAAGTTCCTTGGCTTATTGGGAGCAAGGCAACCTTTAGCACTAGTTGCATTATTAACATCCCAGATGGCAAATTGGCTGACATTTGACACCACATAAAAATCGTATGAAAAAGTTTATTAACTTCTTTTTGCTGACTGCTTGGATTGTATCTAGAACCGGAGGGAAATGCCATTATGTGGAAATGTGTTGAAAATGCTGCATTACTCCCAGATTGTTCTATTAATTGAAGATATTTTTTATGAGAGGAATCTAGGGTTTGACATGGCTGCCTTTAAAATCAACAGCCAACTCTCATTGGTTTTGGATCAGACACATATTGCAGCAGGCCTAGAGAATGATACAAGCTTCCATCTGAATAAGGAGGAAACCAAAAATGTGAAGCTGGGCTGTCATCTCGCTTGGGCCAGGAGAGGCCTTTAATAATAACTTTTTCCTTTGCTGGATGGCACGGAATAAAATAGAAAACTGTAGCCAGTCCTCCAAGCCCTATCATTTCCCCCAGAATTCATACTTTGTTTTTTAGGGAAACTGGTCCACCTAAAAGTAATCTCCTTAGAGATTCACTGATTGTCTTGACCGGCCGCTCTGCTACAACTTGTAGCTGTGCCATCACTTGCACTCTGAGCTGAGGGTTGAAGCTGTGGTTATGGCTTAACCCATCACTGCTACTTCTGGAAACTTGGTTTCGATAGAATCTTGGCTTCTATTCCTAGCTGGGCCACAGACTTCCTGTGAGACGTTGGGCAGCTCACTTAGGGTATGTCTACACTTCATGGCCATTCTGGAATAGCTTATTTCTAAATAGTTATTCTGAAGTAGCTTCTTTCAAAATAGCACGTCTGCACTGCAGGGAAGCCTCAAAATTAGTCCAAGGCAGGCTTCCCTAATGTAGACGTGCTATCTCCATTTAAAGCCCCAGGAGGCACTGGGGAGGAATAATTTAGAATGGCCCTGGTGAGGGGCCAGTTCAAAATAGGAGCAGTGGAGCGTCTCCTCATGCCTTATTTCAAAATGGCTATTTTGGAATAGACATTATTCCTCATAGAATGAGGTTTACAGATTTTGGAATAAGCCGTCTGTTATTTTGAAATTATTTTGAAATAATGGAATGGCTGTGTACATGCTCGCATTATCTCAAAGTAACGGTGCAGTGTAGACACACCCTTAGTCTCTTTCGCTCTCTGCCTCAGTGGGCCAAATCCTGCAATGCACCGTGTAGATTCTAAGCTGTGCAGGATGGTAGCTGCAGGAGGACTCTGTGCCTACAGGTTAGGCGCTCCTCAGGAATGGAGCTTATCAGGGCAACCCTGTGAGGACACAACTTAACTGGAGGCTTTGGTTAATGAGGAGTGTAGCCAGTCAGAGGGACACTGGGATCTGTGTTGTTTTTGCTGTGTCATCTCTCAGATCTGGTGCAATGACATCTCCCATTTGGTATGGTTAAAATCTAGGGCTTGGCACTGAATAATTAAGGGCCTGTTTATAAATCATTCACTATTAGCACTACTGGAATGTCCCATCAGGTGCTGGCATACTGTAGCGTATGTTGAGGATCATTGGGCTGTCCAAGAGACACCAAAAATACAGTCAGCGTTTGTCACTGCTTTGAGAGACTCTGCAGCCTCCTCAAGCAGTCAGTCAGACTTTGGAAACGTTGGCACAGGTCTGCTGGGATGATCGGCCCTCACCTGGCCCGTCTGTGCCACAGAGAGCACGGTCCCCCAGATCTGTCCCATTCGTCCTCTTAGGTCCTGATTCCACAAGACACTGAAGTACGTGGTTAACTTTAAGCAAAGGAGTAATCCCCTGGAAACCAGAGGGACTCCTCACATGCTGTCTAGTTAACAGTGAAGGTGACTGGCTACTTTGAGGCAGCAGGGTCCAGCTTAGGGTGGAGAAAAAGGAAATGCTGTGTGAGGAGATCTGAGCTCTGCCTCTGCTGTAATGCCCTGCATTGAATTTGCTGTGTGCCACCCCGATTCAAGAGGCCCAATCAGGAATTAACCAAATGAGGCAACATAGAGACACATGTTATTAAAACCCGAATATCTGTGCCAACTTGCTCAGTGCAGAAAAGTTTGCTCTAGTCCCACTTGGTTTTTACTTTTGAAATAAACGAAAGGTACTCAGCCTCTCTCCGAGTGTTTAATTCTGCTGACATCTCTGAAGTCAAGATTTTCCAGTCTGCAGCATTTGCAGGGTCTTCCAGGTGATGTGTGTTTCTTATTCCTAAATAGAGAGCTGGCAGGACCTGCAACCCTAGCAGAAAATTCCGTAGGCTCCTCTGAAGCTCTGACCTGCTGCTCCTCCAACAAAGCTCTGTCTGATTCTTTTCTTTTGCACTTGTTCATTGCCCAGGCATCCAGCAAGCTTGTCTGATAGGTCAGAGATTTGGTGAAATCTTTGTCTGCTTTATCTTGTTTCCGTCCCATCCCCCACTTGCTAGCTCTTCAGCTTCTTTCACTCAGTCGGATTTCTGTTTCATGCTCAGATTGGTTTTCTTTCTTTTAGGACATATGGACAAGAGTTCTTCTGCCTGAATCCTAGGAACCCAGCAAAATATGCAAAGGAAGCTCTCAGCAAGGCAGGGCTGTCTCAAGTCAGGCACCTTGAGAGATCTGCCTCTTCTCCTTTCCCCACTTCACATGGCTCTTTGTTCCGACTCTTAACTGCTGCATCAGGTTTGTGGAGCAAGGACACCCTTAGTCATTCCTATTAAAGTGCCTCTCCAGTCCTGTCCAAATAAACAGGCAGTGCCTCCTACTGTAAAATATGCCCAAAATGGCAGAAGACTTAAAATACTCCTTCAGCAACTAATCGCTAAGAATGTGCATCACACAGACGGCCAGCAACCAGTGTAATTTCCTCTAAGCTCAGGCTAAGAATCTGAGGTCAGATGCTATTTATGTTGCACAGCACTTCAGAGGCAGCACTGCAGAACACTGCTAGCGGGAAATGAGGGTCAGCTCAGGCCTTTTAAACACTGCATTACTTAAATGGCTTTTCCTGTCTCAGCTGTCTAGATTTGAGATTAGCACAACTCCAAAAATGGCATTTTTTTTGCTGCTGCTGTAAATCAAACCAATCTCTAAGCTGCTTTTGAGCCTGAAAGATGTTGAAATGACCCTATGAGTTTGCAAACTACTGTTCAACTTAAATATTGGCTAGGAGATCCCTTGTAAAAGAAACTTCTTAAATACATTTGTCAATGAAAACATGCTTCAGAACAGATCAGATGCACCTTTCTACCTGCGTCACCCTTTCTGTTCTTTTTTACATAGGTAGGACATATTTGAACACAGCTATGTTTGCGGTACCACAACAAGTTTATGAATGTTTTGGATTTTGAAGATGTTTGAATAATTGAGGGTTTGGCTCCCAGAAGTAACTTTCCATGTAATTAACTCACAGTGAGGGTCATGCCAGTCGGTTCAGGTAACAGAGAGTTTGGCATAATTGAGGTTCAGATAACTGAGGCTGTGCAGATGTTTGTGAAAGCACAAAGTGTCCTCTGTATCTCCTTTAAGCAGCCCCTTTATAATCAATAGAGCAGCATAATAACCATAGTGTGGCGTATGCCTGGAGGGAAAAGCTACTCCTTTTCTTTTTTACTAGCACGATGAAAAATCGATCTGCTCCCCAGGACTGAGGTGTGGAGTCCTGCAAGACATTGTACAGATCCTGCTCTGTAAACAGTGCAATTATTCTCTTAAAGCTGTCGTCTTTTCTAGCATGGCAAAAGGCACGGGGCCAGATGCTGCTGCTTTTCGCCAAGTGTACACCCAGAGTTCACACTAGGGATGTTAAATATCGGTTAATTGAATAGTCGATTAACCTCATGAATTCTTATTCTATAGTCCCTGGGCAGCCCCTGTCCGGGGGGGGAGAAGCTGAGCTCCTGGACCTGGCATGAGCTGGAACTGAGCTGGGCTGCCTGCCCACCTGGATCCTAATACACTTTAAATGCAGAGCCGCAGTGGGGGTAGGGCCAGGACCCAGGGCAAGCTGGGACCGAGCTGGGCTGCTGGCCATCCTGCTAAAAAATTTACTGGCAAGAGGTGTGGGGGGGTGTGGGCTATAAGCTTTTGCTTATCGGTTAATCAACTATGCTATTACATCCCTAGTTCACACCCTAAAGGTCACTGAAATTGCTCCTTATTTCAGTGCTATAAATGACAATAGAAATTTGTAACATGTTGTTGAGAAAAATCTGGTAGCAAGAGACACTCTGTCACCGAGACCAGCACGGTAGTCAAATATGGGTGAGCTCAAAGGTGACAAAAAGTAGGTTTTATGTCCCACTGGGGTCTCGTATTTTAATTTTATATATATATTTATATTGTGTTTTTAAAAATTTTGTAAGCCACCTCAAATATTTTAAATAGAGATGTGGGGTACAAATATTTTAAATAAATAAATAAAAAGGGGGATGTTGTTGCATTTAGAAATGTGTCACATCAGAGATTACACTGGATACAAAAAGCCATCTCAACAGACCTGCAACTTTAGGAAGTTCTAAGCTGAATTAGGGGCAGCTGGCCCAAGTAGCTGTGCTAAAAGGACACTAAGTGACAAGAGACTACGTTGTGGTAGTTTGACAACTAAGGAAATCAAATGGACTCACATTGAAAGGCAACGGCATCATAATTCCAAACAAAACTTAGGAGAAATCCTACATCTACATATGAAGGACAACAAGGATTAACTAACTGCTGTAAATGAGCAGCCAGTCAGTGTGATTGCGAGGTGTCAGCAAGGACCTAAAGAACAAAGTATCAGTGTGTGAACACTGCAGAACTAACAGACCAACAAAATACAAAGAACATTGAATAACAACTGCTCTACCATATGGACCTTGGAAGAGACTAGTAGCAGATGTATGCAAATTCAGAGGACATCATTAGCTGGTCATTGATTCTATACACCTGTAAAAATAATCCATAGTGTACTTGACAGACATAAGAGGCTGCAGTGTTATTGGGAAACTGAAGTGCACTTTTGCTCACTTAGGTATTCCTGAACAACTAGTGATGGACAATACAAGTAATTCCAAACAAAATATGATTTTGATCACATTACTAGCAGCCCACATTACCCACAAGTGAATGGAGAGACTGAGAGAGCCTATAGAGACAGCCAAGAAAACCTTACAGCAGGAGGATCCATTCTTTTCTCTCCTGAGTTGCTGATCAACATCAATAGCAGCTCCTGGATATAGTCCAGCACAGCTTCTGACCAGAAGACAACTCAGAACTACTGTTCCAACTATGAAAAAAAAATCTGTCTCCAAAGGAGCCAGACATGAGACTAGTTAAATTGGATATATATTTTTTTACACTCTTACAATAGATAGCTACAGAACAGCTGGGTCTAGACCCTGATGATCTTGTTTGTATCAAACTGGATGGAGAAAAGGGATGGTCAACTCCAGCTGCCAGAGAGAAAAATAATTCAGCACCCCGATCGTGTAGTATTTGAGACAAAGAGTGGAATGGTCAACAGAAACCATCAACATCCTCAGAAAGAACAACCAGCAGAGGAAACGCTACAGAAGGTGGAAGAAGAACATGAAAAAGAAGATTCAAAGATTCCAAACTGACCGTAGCCTGTCATCAGAGGGACAATTTGGGGCAACCGCCCTAGGCCTTGTGTTTTGGTGGGCCCCAGATAGCCCAGGGGACTAACAGGAGGTCTGGCATCTGCAGCAAGAGTCGCCCCTCTCCCACTCACCAGCAGTGGTGGGAAGTGGAGTGATACTGCTGGGAGGTGGCAGAGCAGAGCAGGCTGGGTCTGGTTCATTGCAATTCCCACCCCTGCAGTGAGTGTGGGAGTGGGCCCAACACCTGCCGGTGCCAGACCTCCAAGAAGCTCCCCTGCCATGTTGCTTGGGGGAGGGGACTTACAGGAAGGGGTGGAGCAGGGAGCAGCAAGAGGTGGATGGGGGCTTGGGAAAAGGGGTGCAGTGGGGATAGGATGGGGGTAGGAAGAGATGGGGTTGGGGCAGAGGAGGAGGTTGTCATGGGCCCCACACCAATCTAGGGACAGCCCTGCCAGATGAACAAATTGTTACATGTCCAGGTTTTCTGACTCGAAAATGAGTATTTAGTATAGTGGAACATGACAGGTGGGGCATGATGATCTGTCCCAGAAGATTCTGGTCCTACTTGTTGTAAAATGTCTCTCACAAGACATCAAAGCCGCAAAAGGGAACGTTTTCCCGCTAGCTGCCTGTAATAACAGATTAAGTACAAATGAAGGGCGAAGACCCTGATTCAATAAAGTCCTATTCAGGACAGCACTTAAGCACATGCTTAAATTTAAGCATGCCATTATATCCTATTGATTTCAATGGGACTTAAGCATACAATTAAATATTAAGCACATACTTAAGTGCTTTCCTGGATTGGGTCTAAATCTATAAGCCATTCAGAAGTGGTCCTTTAGAAGCCAGTGCGCTACTCAAGTGAGTAAAGAGAGCAGGATTGGTCCCAAGGTTTCAGAACTTAATAAAAAAAGGCAACCATCAGATCTTTCTGATAGAAAAAATAGACAGATACCAAATCCTCCAGCAAAAACCAAGCCATAAAGGGCTGTGAGGACTTCATGTTCTATGAATAAAAACCAAGAGGGATGCTACTTTGAAAGTTCTAAATGTCATTTTTGTCTGCAGTAATCCTGTTACATTGACTTGGCAATTCTCCAGAAATAAAACTGCCACATTGCTGTATTGTACTATACACATTACAGAATCTTTATACAAAAGTTTATTATAACAATATTTACTGTCCCCATAAAATAGAGACACGTGCATTTAGATTGGCAATTCTTTTCCCAAAATGATTTGGTTTCTTTCACAAATATTATATTTACTTATTCCTTGAGCAGTTTCACCCCTGACAAAATCCAAAGTAGTTTCTCTATAATGTGCAATTCAAAAGAAGTAGTCATAAAGAGTTATTAATGTTTAAGGTGGTAGGACATTCTTTAGCATGGTTCTAGTCAGATTATACAGTATGCATTAAATATATTTGGCAGTGCGCTTATTAAATATAAATGGAGGAAAGCCAACCCCTCAATGGGAATAGATCTTCCAAAGAAGTATTTCTCTACTTTAAATGTGACATGCAAAACAAAAGTTTTTTCAGATTTCAAATATGGGGTTGTTTTTCCCCTGTGCAATTTTCTATGTAAATTTTCTGGACTATAGGGACTTGTTAGAAAAAGATCAAACATAATGTATATATTCTAATGCATAATACATATAGATTTACCTCACAGAGGCATTGAGAATTAATTAGCTACTGATTGGAAAGCACTTTGAAGATGAAAAGCACTTTATAAATGCTAGATATTATTATTATTTTTCTGCGTTAAAGTGGAAGCATGTTGGTTACTGTGCATTGGGTCAGTGTACATTGTGCAAGCACTGGTCAGATATGCGGTTTATCATCAGTTCAGTTCTGGTTAATGCAGTTAACTTAGCTTGGCCAGTTGCTGTGGCCAGGAATTATGGTAAAGGAACATTATAAACCATGTATATTCCCA